AATGAGTTAATTACAGAACAGTTTACTGATCAAATATATTTCAAACAAATATTTAATGATCAGTGATTTAATTTTCATTGGTAAAATATGAGATTAGTCTCTTACAGTTGGTGTCTCTCTGCAGGACCATGTCCTCATCCAGCAGCCTGGACTCCCTCCGCCCCTCTTCTGGGTCACTACCTGACAAGGTTCTCTGAACTTTGAGGACAGGGCGCCCTCTGCTGGACTCCTGCTTGCAGCAGGCCATGGCTGAACCCGGCTACTCCGACCTGATTTCCAAACACTACAACTACACCGGTAAGTTCCGCAAGACGGAGCAGGACTCAGGTCTGAAGGCTGACTCTGTGGTTTTCATCATCGTGTGCTGCTTCATCATCCTGGAGAACATCCTGGTCCTAACAACTATTTGGAGAACCAAGAAGTTCCACAAGCCCATGTATTACTTCATTGGGAACCTGGCCCTGTCTGACCTGCTGGCAGGCGTCGTCTACACCGCCAACATCCTGCTGTCAGGTGCCAACACCTACAAGCTGTCACCAACACAGTGGTTCTTCAGAGAGGGCAGCATGTTTGTGGCACTGGCAGCGTCCGTCTTTAGCCTTCTGGCCATCGCCATTGAGCGCCACCTCACCATGCTGAAGATGAAGCTGCACAACAACGGTAACACCTGCCGTGTCTTCCTGCTTATCAGCACCGTGTGGATGATTGCAGCGGTGTTGGGCGGCCTGCCTGTGATGGGCTGGAACTGCATCCAGAGCATGATGCAGTGCTCTACCGTGCTGCCGCTCTACCACAAGACCTACATCCTGTTCTGCACCACTGTGTTCAGTATCATCCTCATGGCCATCGTGGTGCTCTACGCCCGAATCTATGCACTGGTGCGCACTCGCAGCCGCAAACTTGTGTTCCGCAAGGTGTCCAATGGACGCAGCAATGCAAACGCCAATAGCAAGAGTTCAGAGAAGTCGCTGGCGCTGCTGAAGACCGTCATCATCGTCCTGAGCTGCTTCATCGCCTGCTGGGCACCGCTCTTCATCCTCCTGCTGCTGGACGTGGCCTGCGAGACGCTCAGTTGCCCCATTCTCTACAAGGCTGAGTGGTTCCTGGCGCTTGCTGTCCTCAACTCTGCCATGAACCCTCTCATCTACACACTCACCAGCAACGAAATGCGCCGTGCATTCCTTAAAACGCTGCTGTGCTGCACCTCCTGCATCCGGCCCCACACCAAGTTCACTGGGCCCATCATGGGCGCCGAGTTCAGCCGCAGCAAATCCGACAATTCCTCCCACCCCAACAAGGAGGAGGTGGAGTACTCCCCAAGGGAGACAACGGTGGCTTCCTTGGGGCATGTCACCTCATCTTCCTAAACATCAGAATGTGAGAGAGGATGTGTGGCGTCAGTTTGAGTTTGTTCAGGAAACAGGTGTGAACTTCACCAGGCAGCGTCCTCACAAACCAATCAGCTGATCAGGACACACAGCACTTATAGAAAAGATCAAACTGGTTAAACTGGAACCAGTGAATTTTCACATGCTCCAATCTGCAGCTCCACCTCAGTTCACCTGAACTCACCGGAACTCACCTGGTGAACATGTATAATGAGGGTCCAGGTTCTGTTCATGTTACTGATCCTCATAAAAGAGGAACCAGATTTTGTACTGACCCCCTAAGATCAGATAGAACCTGTAGAACACAAATATCCACAAATATTTAAGAACAGATTAATTCATGAAACCTTTTTTCCTCCACTTCCTGTAAAAAAAAACAACAACACATCACAGAGGGCACGGGCAGAGATCAGGAATTTTCATCTTAAAACATGTTGAACAGATTTAAACATCAGTGAAGACATGAAAACAGCTGACGAGATGATTTGAATCTTCAGTAACATGTTTCCTGTCCAAGTTTGTTCAGAAAGTTCAACTTATGATAATTCATAATTCACTTGTTCATTTCTAACATTTAAACTGAGAGTCTATGTCATGTGACCACACACAAGTCAGACATGACATCCACGTGTTGTTTGAGTTCAATCTGACGTCAGAGCTGAATCTGATTAGTGATATGTGAGAATCACCTGTTTGTCATGTGACTGTAAAAAAATAACTGTTAGAAAAAGTTGCTGAAAATGTTTTCCACTCGATGTTTGTTGTCATCTTTAGCGACGTCTGTGTAGTCGATTAATTTATATTTGAAAAAGATTCAGTTTGTCAGGAAAATGAAAAGACCTTTTTTCTCTTCAGGTTTGTTCAGTCGTGTCTCAGAACTACGGAAGCTCATTTCTGTTAAAATGTATAAAACAAACCAATACATGTAGAATAACAAATATGTGATGAGAAAATAATTAAACTAAGATCCAAGTGAATTTTTTTTTGAAGTACAAAGTAAAAGCTCTGGATCAATATTTCAAGGTCATGTGACACGACTGAAAACTTCAAAATTACCTTATAATCACTTATACCTCATAGAACCTCATAGAACCTCATAGAGAAATTTCATGTTTTAAGAATCTGACCATTTCATCATCTTATTGAATTCTGGCAGCAATGAGCTTCTTAACAGATCAATGCTGTTACCATGGTGACCACCTTGATCAATTAACCCATTAATGTTGTGTGTTTGTTGTGAAACTGTGTGAGTCTGTTAATGTTAATAAAGACATAAAACCAGTTTGTGTTCAAGAGGATATGATGTCACAACAGGTCATCAACGAAGTCATCAACAGTACCAGAGAACACGGTACCAGAGAACACGGTACCAGAGAATTCGGTTCCATGAGAACACGGTACCAGAGAACACGGTACCAGAGAACACGGTACCAGAGAACACGGTACCAGAGAACACGGTACCAGAGAATTCGGTTCCATGAGAACACGGTACCAGAGAACACGGTACCAGAGAACACGGTACCAGAGAATACGGTTCCAGAGAACACGGTACCAGAGAACACGGTACCAGAGAACACGGCACCAGAGAACACGGTATCAGAGAACACGGTACCAGAGAACACTGTACCAGAGAACATGGTACCAGAGAACATGGTACCAGAGAACATGGTATCAGAGAACATGGTATCAGAGAACACTGTACCAGAGAACACTGTACATTAGGATACTGTACCTTAAAATACTACCAGAGAACAAGGCACCAGAGAATACAGTACCAGAAAACACATTACCCAAGAACACAGTACCAGAGAACACAGCACCAGAGAACACAGCACCAGAGAACACAGTACCAGAGAACAC